GTTGAGTTAGCTGATAGTGTTGTTCAGGTCTTCCACATACTTGCTTGCTGTTTTCTGTCCTCTTGCTCTATTGATTATAGGAAGTGGAGCACTGAAGTCTCCAAGTGTGATTGCAGAATAAAAAAAAAAAACAAAACTCCTTTCAGTTCTATCACTTTTTGCTTCACACACTTTGAAGCTCTATAGTTAGGTGCATACACATTAATAATTATTATGCCTTTTGTATAAATTTATCTACTTTGTCTGTTATTAATCTAGACACCCCAGTTTTCTTTCCATTAGTATTTGCATGGTATATCTTTCTTCATCATTTTACCTTTAACCTAACTACATCATTACATTTAAAATGGATTTGGTGTAGAAAGCATATGCTTTTTTAATGCAATCTGGCAATCTCTGTCTTTTAATCAGTATGTTAGGCCATTTACATGTAACATAACTACTGATATGGCTGAACTTAGGTAGGTCTACCACTTTATTTTTCGTAATTTTTGTATTTTTAGTAGAGACAGGGTTTCACCAATCAACTCAGGTTTATATAAGAAGTTCTGTTTTGCCTTCTTTGGATGATGCTTCCCATGTCAGCTCCATTTTCAAAGGTGTTTATGTCTACCCTATACACATACCAGTTAGTCTGAAATTTGGAATAATGGTTTATATTATAAGTTAATTCTAACATCTGTTGTTATTTCCTTGGTTCTGTTACATGTATGTAGCTCACAGGTGAGCCCAGGATTTGCATCAGTTCCTAGAAAGAATTAGGAGATCTCCTTATCAAGCTCCCTCCTCTAGAATCACTCCCACTCGTCAGCTCTCAGGGGCCTTTTTCCCAGTCTTCTGACTACAAAGTCAGAGTTTATCTCAGGGTTTTAGACTCTCACACTGTCAGGCAGTCTGTACAGCAAGAGAAAATAAAAATATATGATGGGATTTTCCTCACATTCTTCAGACCACAGGGGCCATTGTTCCCAGTTCCTCTGGCAGAGAAAGCCTCTTTCCTGGGATTTTAGGTGCCCATGCCACCACCATGACCACCACAGCAGCAGTTCAGCTTTCCCTGCAACTGGCTTCAGGGTAGGGATAGAAGAGAAAAAGAGAGGTAGGGAAAGGAAACGGGGAAGTTTTTAGAAAGAGGAGTTTCTCTCAGGTTTTGTTATTTTTTTTTCCCAGAGTTCTGTGACTTGGTGCATGTCAAAGCCAGTCGATAAAAGAGGAAAGAATAAATCCAGAAGCTCACCACCACACCAGTTTTTCTTCAAGTTCTGATTGCTCTCTTCAGTGTGTCTGTTATCATTTACTTTCAGAGCCCCTAGTTAGTTGCTTTTATAATCTGATCAGAACTTTTAGTTGTAACCAGTGGGAGAGATATATTGTAGTGAACTTAGTCTATTTTTGATGATGCCAGAAGTTCAATCCCTTTTTGCTACGAGGGGTTATGAAACATCCCAAGTAACACATAATGAAAATCTGAACTGGAATAGAAGTGGGAATGAAAAGGAGAGAAGCTACAGAACCACTAAGACTTAGTAACATGGTTATGAAGACTTAAAAAGGTTAAATATTACCATACATACTTAAAAAAAAAACTTATAGAAAATCCTAGCTTTACAAATGATTTGTCAATACAAATGGGCATTAGGAGTATTCTGCCCTGCTGCTAAGGAAATTACATTCTTGGCATCTATACAGGTTTATTCTTGAATGGATTTTCCTACAGAAATAATCCTACAAATGCTAGTGCTCACCATCATAGCAGTTTTTCCATTTGGTTCTTTTTTATACCTATTTTTATGCCTCAGGTCTTGAAGTTATGGTTTCTTGGTTCAAATGGTGTTTCCATCTCAAAACAGTCATGGACCACAGTGTATTACTTAATCCCTTTAAACTTAGTATTCTCATTTATAAAACAGGAATAATAGTATTTCCAAGAAAAAGTTATGGGATAACCCATATAAAGCCTGAGCACAGTGCTTGGCAGACAGTAAGTGCCCAGTAAATGTTTTACTGAATACACGAAATTTTTGCCCTAACTTTAACAGCCATCTTATTTACTTTTAAAGTTCAAACACGTCAAACTCCATCATAACAATGTTTAAACGCTTTAAACAATGTAGAAACCCTTTTCTGTAGTAATCTATTTTGTGTTTGAATGAAGTTACTTTACCTAACAAGCATCTTTTTTTGGCTGAATAGTTTGGGAATTTCATTTCTTTATTTTATTCATCTAATTCAAGAAAGAGATTTTTTTTCTCTCCTAATGAATCTAAAAAACTGTAAAAAAAAAAAAAAAAACAAAAAAAAAAAAACAAAAAAAAACAAACTTTACCACAAACCTCTACCTGAAATGCCCAAATATGGCTTATGAATTACACAAACAAATGTGAAATGCCAAGACCATATAGATTCTTGACTATATAGAATATCTTGAGGAAACAGAGTCTTCTTAAAAAAACAATCCTGAGTGAAGCTGAGTTCCTTGCCCAAAGAATGACCAACCAATCTATATGCCACCAAAGAACATACAAACCATACATAATTATTATATAACATATCTGAATTGTATGAAAACATTTCAGAGGTATTGGAGACTCTGACAGCACCTGTGGTAAACCCTTCTGTGTACCTTTGATGCCAGGGACTGAAAAGGCTTGCGCAAATAACATAAAACCAAATGACTCTGGCTGCAAAGGCAATCAGTATCAGATATAAACAAGGGAAAAACAAAAAAGCAAAATGAATCCAGAAAAGTAAATAGATCTATTCCCTTTGACTCTTTGTTGTTCAACTGATTCTATTTCTTTTGCATGGAAATTTATTAGAAGCATTTTAATGTGCATCCCAAAGGCTGCCTTAAATTTGCATCCATGTTTAATAGCAGAGAGAGCAGTACAGGTGCTATGGAAAAGCAATGGAAGTTAAATCAGAATCTGTGGGTTTTTACAGTTTGTCACCTCACTAAGTCTCAGTTTTCTCATCTGCAAAACAGCAGTGAAAATGTCTACTCTATAAAATTGTGATTATTAAATATGGTAAATGAAAATAATTATAAAATATGGAAACATAAATGAAAATATGAAAAACAAATAAATGAAAATAGAACAGTGCCATTCAATAGAAATATAAGTTGAACCACGAACATGAGCCACATAGGCAATTTTAAATTAAAAAACGCAAAGAAACATGTGAAATTAATTTTAATAATATATTTTATTTTGCCCAATTTATCCAAAACGTCATTTCAACATTTTAATCAATATAAAATGATTAATAATTGAGAGGTTTTTTTTTTTAACATTCTTCTTCTTTTTGTCCTGTCTGAAAATTGGTGCCTATTTGATACTGACAATACAGCTGCATTCAGACTAGCCACATTTCAGGTGCTAAACAGCCATGGTAGCTAGTAACTATCATACTGGACAGCATATGCTTAGAACCAAGGTGAGGCTTCACACATGTTTACTAGATTCAAATAGTATTTCCTATCAGATAAGCCCTGTGAGACTTGGGAAGGTTATTTTTAAAATTGATGCATTAAAGAGAGCTTGTGTTTTTATATTGGTATAGTAGTTAATATGTGATACGTAAGAAGAATTTAAAATAAAATATTCCCTATAAATGACCAGACTATATACTTGACCAAAATAAAAGCAACCAAAAATGACGACTATAGGTCACTTTGTAGTTATTTTATTAGGACTAAAATTATATGTTAATTTGACATAGAATCTAATAATCTAAAAAAAAAACCTGACATAACTATAAGTACACAAAACAATTCAAACTATAAACAGTTCAAACTGGCATTTCCGTAGAGAAGGAAAGGGTCCTGGAGTTGGAAATCCAAGTCTTTAGTAATAAACTACAATTGCGAAAGTATACCTTTCATCAAAAAAACATGAGAAGAAATCACAATATTTTTCTATATTGCAAAAGTTTTCATTTCACAGGACCTGCCATGAGTAAGTCATATTATAGTTTCAATAGCTTTATTTTTTTCCTCTCATAAAAATTTATTCTCTAAATTAGAGGATGACCACCCATTATGACAATTACTTATCGCATCATTTTAATGCCTCTTAATGACTCATTGGGGTTAAAATGTCAAATATTCATACTACATTCATTATTAAAATTACACTGAATAGTATAAGGTAGGCAAATTCTTGTATCTTGAGCTCAAAGAGTAGAATGAAAAATATAAAGAAACATTTCTTCACTGCAAGGTCTTTATGAAAGCTGTCCACAAAGCCTAAGGTGGATGTATGTGCACATGCATACACACATATGATATATTTAGTATTATGTTCTTGTTTTCTGTGGGTGGAGACGTCCCTGCAACTGGCATATTTTCAGCAATCTTCCTCTGGGCTGACCAGCAGTGCAACACAAGTGGAGGGTAAAATGTACTATTAGAAAGGCAATGACTACTTCATTTCAAATCTGACAAGGACTATTTAGTTACCTACTACAACTTCTACATTACAAAGGGCTATGACATTCTTAATGATTGATAGAAACTTTTTGGACTTTGATTTTTTATTTACTTGTATTCAGAAGATGGCACTTCTACAATACAGGCCCTCAAACACTTTGTCCGCACACTCGGCCAGAAGCGACACATAAAGAAAAGGTGCTAAAGCAGACTTCTTTCAGGGTGCCACCTATGTGCCTCTCTGCAGTCTCCTTACTAAGAACTTGCCTCACTCAGCCCTGTTCAGGCTTAAGATCTGCAATGGGTTCACACTACAAATTGGTAAAGCTTCAAAAGACAGGGTTTAAAGATTTATATCATCATATTTATATTCACTTAAACTCTTCCGAGGAAGAATCTATTCCATCAATTAGATATGCATTTCCTAAACATTAGCGTTTGTTAAAATACAGACCACGCCCCATAGCCACTGATACCAAATTCAAACACAATGGCATACACTGTACCATTTTAAACACTTGGCCAAATTTCAGAAGTAAAACTACCCAATGTAGTAAGAAAGACTCACATCTGGCATTTCTGTACAGAAGGAAAGGGTCCTGGAGTTGGAAATCCAAGTCTTTAGTAATAGGTTCTGTCCTATTTTCCATGCTCAGCCTATTCATAATGGTGAATCCGTGCTTTGGAGAAGCAGACCTAAAAATCACAAGGGGTCAGAGGGAAATCAATAGACAAATTGCTTGGTATGCGATATTTTCAGTATAAGTATATTCTGATGTAGCTCTCAACCTTTGTTTGCATATACAGCTTTATGCAAGCAGCCTGTACACATACTTCTTTACCACTGGCTTCATTATAGACTAATTCCCATAATGCAGCAGCACTGTCAACATGACTCGTTTCATAAAATTGAGTTATACTTTCTTATTTGTGGCGTGTGTGTATGTGTGTGTGTGTGTGTGTGTACAGTTGTTTATTTCTCTACCTAGCTTGTAAATTCCTTTAAGGCAGGGTAACTACTTTTTAAAACATTACTGACTTTTAAAGAATACTTTTTAAAAGTTAAATTAATTAAAGATATTTTTAAACAATCTTGGTTGTTAAAGTATACATCACAATTATATGAAGAAAATTTTCATAGAAAATGTTAAGTGTTAGTCTGAAATTGAGGGCTGCAAAATCTCTTAGTGATACGAAGCAACTCTGGACAATGAACTTATGAGATTACAGAGCCTAAACTAGAAGTTTATATAACAACGCAAATGGCAGATACTTTGTTTTCTTCAATGCAAAGCAAACAGCTACATAGATAAACCACTATAAAAGTTTTTCTCTATAAAAATGTGACATTTAGTGACGTTTTATTTTCATTTCACTCAATAAACCTTGAACACCTACTCTGCCAGGCAAAAAGAATCCAAATTATACTGAGTATAAACTCTAACAACTACATGTGCATTTGTCTACCCTTGGGTGACAGCCATATAGTAATTCAACTGTGTAACTTCTGGTGACAAATGAAACACTACATACTTACACACTGAAGCTGAAGCAAGCAGAATTCATTTATTTACTTTAAATGAGGGTGCTAGGGCTGTTATTAACAAACCCACAGAAATGTTATGAGCAACAGGAAGACAAGTTGTTTAATGTCTTAGTTTTACGTTACTTCTATTTGATGCTGATCAAGGAACACAGCTACGTAACACTGCCAGGATTTTCTTCTGAAACCTCCAATTTTAAAATTGATGGGAGGCGATCCTTGCCCAGCTTTTTTTACAAAGGGGTAAAGCGGTGGTAAGCATACAACCAACACCAGAAATAATCATGATAATCATTTCTACTTAAATTCAGAGGAAGAATAAAAACAAACTCCCCAAGAGCTCTCTTAGGGGGTCCTCTGGAAGTGTCAGGTTCAGAAATTACCAGTGGGTGTCTCTATGAACTCTCTATTACAGAAAGGAAGGCATAGGAGGAAATAAACGATTTTTTAAATGGGATTAAGTGTTTTCATACAAGACTGAGAATCTGATTCTTCACGTATTTCATTATCACAACAGGATCTCACCTCTTTAATAGTACAGCTGCTATACCATCTCATAATTTAGAAAATAGGCCAAGGGGATAAATGTGCCAATTGCTCTAAAGCAACTTCTTCTATAAGAGAAGTCAAAATATATCACTGCCAGCTCCATTCTCTGTACCAACACCCCCCCCACACACCTTGAGTTTTACATGCTTTTTGTAATTCTCTACTGAAGAAAGACCTCAACATACTAGGATCTGGGAGGTTTTTGTTTTGCAGGGGATAAGGGAGGCATCCTATTCTTGAGGAGTTAGATTTGGAGAAGAGACTAAAAAACAGGAAAGGATTTTGTTTTCAACTTCATGTTTTGTTTAATTCAGAGCTCCATTAGAGACATGGAGTATAGTAAGAAATCTGAAAATACAAACTTGTATTTGGTTTGGGTGCAAAAAAGAAAATATTTGTATGATTTGTTACTCTTCCACAGCTAAAAAAAAAAAAAAAAAAACAACTCTACTGAAAGTTCCCCAAATCAATCATTAATACATACCAATACATCTTTTCTGTCACTTCTCCAAGAAGTAATAATGCCTGTTGTGAGAAATGCATGACAGTGCACCCTGCATGCATGGCACACAGTACAGTTCAACCCTGTGCCTTCCGTGGTGAACTTCAGAATCCTCAAGAGCAGTCATACGCTACTGAATAAACTTGCCTTGGGGCATGCTCTGGTGCTGGATGTTCGGCAACATAATGCAGACTAATATGCCAAGGGTTCTTGGGTACTCCAAGGCTTTTCTGAGACTGTAAAGAACCTGACCTCGTCACCTAGTGTGCTGGCCTTGCCACCCATTCCTTCTTCCCGCTCCCAGTGCTGCCTCCATATAAAAGTTTTTTCTCCTCCTAAAAAAGTTTTTCTCTATAAAAATGTGACAGACTGGAACAGACCTTCCTCCCCTGCAGCTGAGCTCCCTCCTCCCCAGCACACACAGACCTCCATCATGCATGCACTTTGCCCCCCACGGGCCTCTCTGTGCTGTTCTGGTCCTGCTTTTATCTTTCAAGCTGACTCCTCTGTATCCTTGCTGGCCCTCAAACCTAGCCATAAACCCTCATCGGTTTCCTTTTCATACTCACTCCTTCAGGGAACAGCTTTTCTTTCATGGCTTCAACTACCAAAATACTTCAGACAACTCCAAACCATCTCCACCACCGCCCCTACTCTGAGGGGCTAGACACCTCCACCGGAATGTCCTGCTACCACTCCAAGTCATTACTTCAAAGTAAAACGAGGGCTGATCCTCAAACCATATTCTTGATCTCTGTCTTTCTATTCTACCAATGCTTCTGTCATTCTCAATCTTCCATGTTCAAAATATTGTCATTTAAAAAATTTCACCATTGCAATCCTCTTTCCATTTCAGTTTCTATCATTCTAACCCAAACTCTCATCACTTCATATCTACTCCACTGCAATAATCCTCTCACTGTCCTGACTCCAGTTTCTTCTAGAACCAGTGCATCCCCATGAAGTTAATACACTGACTTTCCCCACACATTTCCTCTATTACTCTCCTGTTCATAAGCCTTCAGTAAATTCCTACTGCTAAGAAAATAAAACTCGCCGGGCGCAGTGGCTCATGCCTGTAATCCCAGCACTTTGGGAGGCGAAGGCGGGCGATCACTTGAGGTCAGGGGTTCGAGGCCAGACTGGCCCACATGGTGAAACCCTGTCTCTACTAAAAATACAGAAATTAGCTGGGCGTGGCAGAAGGCACCTGTAATCTCAGCTACTCGGGAGGCTGAGGTGGGAGAATCGCTTGAACCCAGAAGTGGAGGTTGCAGTGAGGAGAGATCGCGTCACTGCACTCCAGCCTGGGCGACAGAGGAAGACTCCATCTCAAAAAAAAAAAGAAAAAGAAATCTCAAAATCTTTAGTTTGCCATTCCAAGCCAGCAAATCTCTTCACCCTTGCTAACTACTGTAAACCAATATAAACCCTCTGCACTATAGTCATTTTTCTTACTGTCCCTTTAACACACCAGGTTCTATGCCTCTGCTTTTGCCATTCTTCCTGTTGAGACTGCCTTCCCTCTCCTCTATGCAAGCTACGTTCTACCTTATTCCTGAGGCCCAACTCAAGACCTATCACTCTATAAAGCAGTGGTGTCCAATCTTTTGGTTTCCCTGGGACACCTTGGAAGGGGAAGAATTGTCTTGGGCCATGCATAAAATATATTAACACTAACAATAGCTGATCAGCTTTAAAAAAAATCCCATAATGTTTTTGAAAGTTTATGAATCTCTGTCAGGCTACATTCAAAGTCATCCTGGGCCACATGTATCCCACGAGCCACAGGTTAGACAAGAATGTTATAAAGGTTTCCACATCACAGCAGCCCATTCATTGCTCAGAATCTATCCACCGGCACCCAGGATACTCTATTCTGTATTGTGGCTTACCATAAACATGAATATACATAGAAAGAAAATACACTTGTGTGTGTATAATTCCTATCTCCTGAATGAAACTTACCCCTAGAAAGGTTTATATTAGGTCTTTGAATTTCATCTTTGTACCCTCACTGAAGGTGATGGCCTTTGGCTATGACATTTTTTTTATTGTAAAGTTTATTTATTGAGACAATATACATAATGCATTTGTGATTTGATATTAATAATATCTGATAACAAGAAATGACTAAAAACATGAGTTTATTGAATCTATCCTGAAACATATTCTATTAACTGAACAATGGAGGACTGAAAGACAACTTCAATTTTGGACCATGCTTTTTTAGTCAGGGGTGGGAGAAAAGACCCTTTTCCAAACATTAATTGAACAATCTAGTATGTCTCATAGTGTTCTTCTAGCTCCTTGCCAATGCATTATATTCAAGAACTTTGTGCCATTCATTTGAATTAAAGAATATTTAATTTATTTTAAGCAGAACCCAGTCAATGATTTAAGTTCATCTATACTGAAGTTTAAATTATATTCTGAAATTAGCATTCATCACAATATACCAGGTGACATTATTCAGTATTCCCTTCTTCATGTCAACTAATAATTTCAAACTGAAATTTAATTCTTTTACTTCTCTTTGAAATAAAACTGCATGCAACTGAAGAAGAGTGACACAATTGACCTAAAATATTATTTCAAAAATTGTTAGTTTCTTCATAATGGTAAAACACTCTTACCTTGTATAAACAAATAAGGTTCCTTCCACATCAGTCTTCTCCTAAACAATAAAAACAAAACACATAAGACATGTATGTTCTCTTCATTCACAAAGGTATAAAACAAACTTCTCATAGAACAGGAATTATATCCAACTTCAAGTAGGTGAAACTGCAATGGGCCAAATATACCCAACATGAGGAGCTGTTCTCAGAAAAGTGAGAAAGCAAGTTCTGTGCTCTGCAGATTAGGCAGCAGGAAGTAGTCTTTATTTTGTCATTTATAAAATAAACCACCGTTATCTCTCTTTACCGAAGACAGGGATAGCAGCATACCTATAGCTAAAACAACGAGAAAATAAATGTGCTCTGTGGATTTAATGAGAAAGAAGTGTGCTGCCTTTTTCTCCATCCACCACACTGGGTATAGGGCAAGCTGCAGACATCACGGATGTCTGTATTTCACTGTCCTTCATTTTATTTTCTGGGTTCATTTTCTCTTGACATATCCAGTCACTTAGGAGAACAGATGATCTGTTAATAACCCTACTTTGACTGCTAGATAGATAGAGCATGCCAGAGTTCTTAGGTGAATCAATCAACTACTTAGTGTATTATATTTACAGTCATCTGAAGTTAAGTTAGACAAGTATTACCAATAGGACTCGAGAAATTTGCCTGAGAAAATCTGGGAGAGGTGGTAAAGTTAAAATGATGGTTCATTTGACATTTCTTTTCCATTTCTCCAAAGGTAGGAAACCAGGCCATTATGATAATGTTCATCAATATAATGCATACTAAAAACACACATATACGTATCCAGATGTTTTATTCACCAGTAACCAGACCCATTGTAATTCGGAATTTAAAATGTACTTTTGCAATTGACATGGTTTAATTTCAGCATTCCATTTAAGCTCCTGATATTTTATAATTAATATTCATGACCATAATCATTCAATATTTAAGTACTCTGTAACTTTGGTGAAAAATACACCCTTTGAAAAAAAAGTATAACATCAAAACAGCAATTTTTAAAAGGCACACAAGGCATGATCCTCTCACATACTCAAGTGATTTCAGCAAATTTTCATTCACTTTAATTCAGTGGGTCTCAAAGTGTTATCCCCAGATCAGCGGCATCAGCATCACTTGGGAACTTATTAGAAATGCAAACTCTTGAGCTCCTGCCCAAACCTACAGAATCAGAAACTCTGGGGATGGTGGTCAGCAATCTGGTTTTTATTAAACTTTCCAGGTGATTCTGATGTAGGCTAGTTTGAGAACCACTGCCTTAGTTCAACAACATACACTCTGCCCTTGAAACTATATTAGGAGTCCTGAAAACAAAATCCATTATGTCACAAATTACATCAAACTATCATCAAGAGTAAATGGCTATCAAAATCACTGCTTAGTAACAAAATGTTTAATCACAAGATGTTTATTATTATGGAATGTGAAATTATAAATAAAAAATTTTGGCCAGGCACAGTGGCTGATGTCTGTAATCCCAGCACTCTGGGAGGCCAAGGCAGGAGGATCGCTTGTGGCCAGGAAGGAGTTCAGTTTATGACCAGCCTGGGCAACATATTGAGACCATCTCTACAAAAAAAATTTTTTTTTAATTAGCCAGGTGTGGTGGCACATGACTGTAGTCCCAGCTACTGAGGAGGGAGAATTGCTTGAGCCCAGGAGTTTGAGGCTACAGTGAGCTATGATTGTGGCACTGCATTCCAGCCTGGGCAAGAGAGCGAGACCCTGTCTCTTAAAAATAAATAAATAATTTATAACAGTTAAAACAACTTTAGCCAGTTTTTTCCCTTACATATAAGCACAGGTAAAAAGTCAAGGAGTTAATCCTTAAACTAGATTCATTATGAAGTGTCTATAAATCACTACAATATACTGTGAAACATATCCTTATTTCTGAAATGTGGCCCATTTGCCACTGTACTTTGAAAAATGTCCAAGTCATTTTAAATGCTGCCTGAACAGTATCCAAATTTTTGGCTGTCCCTAAAGTTTAACTGATTCAGTCAGCAAGTATTCACAAGTCCACAAAGCATTTATGAATAAATTTGTAAAAACTAAATATTTGGTATTATCCATTACGTTGTTAGGAAACTGAGCCAAGATACAGGTGCTATAACTAGGACTTTGCAGAATCTCTATGTACTGTCAGGATCACTCCCCACAAGATCAAAACACTCTCCTGGTCTTCCAGTATCTGACCTTGGACTGTTTCATCTTAGAGATCAGAATCAGGATATCTATATATATCAGCACATATAAAACTAAATAGCTTCTGACTTGTTCCCTTTCTTCCTTGATGTAACAGAAATTCTCTTTTCTCAAAAAAAAAAAAAAAAACCCTTTAATGACACATTTTAGTTTTAAAAAGTCCAAGGTCAGAAATGTAAAAGGCACGCTTCTCCTAAAATTAATCTTTAACTTATAACAAGCAATTCTTAAAACTAAGATTTTTATTTAGCATTACAAAGAATATGAGTTTGTTACTAGAAAGGAGTTGTGATTGAGTAATCACAACCTGGGACCTGGAGGGGGGTTCCTGCCAGATCATATTGGGCTAATCAGTTTATTATTATATGTCTCAGTTTCTCCACTGAAAAGAGATAACCAGCCTACACTACTCAGATCTTTTGATGAAGAAATATCAGGTGCTCTATGATATCTGGATAAAAGGGACTTTAAAAATGTACATTTCTGGCCGGGCGCGGTGGCTCAAGCCTGTAATCCCAGCACTTTGGGAGGCCGAGGCGGGTGGATCACGAGGTCAAGAGATCGAGACCATCCTGGTCAACATGGTGAAAACTACAAAAAATTAGCTGGGCATGGTGGCGCGTGCCTGTAGTCCCAGCTACTCAGGAGGCTGAGGCAGGAGAATTGCTTGAACCCAGGAGACGGAGGTTGCGGTGAGCCGAGATCGCGCCATTGCACTCCAGCCTGGGTAACAAGAGCGAAACTCCGTCTCAAAAAAAAAAAAAAAAAAAAAATGTACATTTCTGTTCCATTACAGCTGCCCAAATTCATGCACTTTCCTGGTCCCTCCACAGTTATCTAAGGGCAACCAGATTTTTTTTTTCTTTCTTTCTGAGCAAAGTCCAGGGTTAGGGATGTGGAGAACAGTTGAAACAAGATTTTATTAGATGTTCCTTAGATCCTTTAAGGAGGACTTGTACGTTAAAGTATTCGTTTCCAGTCTTGGGGTATTTTAGCTTAAATTTTAAAAGCACAATTTGATGACTTAATATTACACTCTATTATAAAATCTAACAAGTGCTAAAGAAATAAGCAATTCAGAATTCAAAATACTAAAAAATATCCCAAATGGAATATAAAATAGTGCCAAAATGGAATTCATCCCAAAATAGAATATAAAATAGTACTGTTTTGCAAATTCTGGGGACTCGGCACACCATCTGACACAAAATAAAAGCAATGTCTATTTTAACTTGATTTTTCTCAGTTAAAATAATCAAAAAGTACATCTTAATTTATCCTCCCCAATCTCTCTTGCCGTGCATGTAGCATCTGAGTCACCTATTAAACTTTCAACAATATCAAATGCCTGGGCCTCATTATCCAGAGGTTTTGGTTTGGCATGTTTCGCTTTTTAAAAACTCTGAGTTATTTGGATACACCAAAAACTTAGTAAACCACTAGCTAGGAACACAACGTTAGTCACTGTAGGGCAATTTTCAGGCTCAGCATTCCCAGTATTATGACTCTATAGATGTCATAATACTCTTTCCCTCAGTGTGACAACCACAAACATCTCCAGACATTGCCAAATATCACCTGTGGGCAAAATTAACTCCAGCTGAGAGCCATTGGTCTAAGGATTGAGAGCTGGTAAATACCAAGGTTATGGTCTTCAGTTGACACATAGGTATTAATATTTTAAGGGAGCAGTCTTTCCTGGCAACAGGGAGTAGGTCTAACTCTAAAATTCCTATTTCAGTCATGATGTAATCTTTCTTAATCCTTCTTTAAAGCAGTTCATTTTCTATACACCTTTCATTCCTAATATTTCCTCCTCTGAAAGGCTGAAGTCATTCTTCATCCATTTTCAGGGCAATAAGAATTCCCCTCCTTAACATCCCCCCTGCCTTCTTTTAAATACTTTCACCTATATTCTCAAGAATGTTCTCATAATCTTATCAGGTTGACACTCAAACGGCTCCCATCCAGAGATCCTGAGTGACAGCACATGGAGACGGTGGTCAGAATTTGTTTGCCTCCAACAACTGTTCTGCCGCTGAACTAGGTCTCTCTCGTTTTCTGGCTACCACAGCCTTGAAGATCAGGACTTTGAAAGAATTAGGACCTTTTCCTGAATGAATTATGCCCTGTCTGAAGGCAACATGTCAGCAAGCAGGAAAACATAACTCCTGTAAATACTGCATTGTGACACTTCTGCTTTTTGATAAGGCTTTTGTAGATGGGCTTCATTATTAGGTATCTAATAAACCTATATAACTATCTTAAAAGGTATCTATCACATAGATAACTGTCAAAAGCCTATAGGAAACAACTATTATTTAAGAGAAATGCTCTACACTCTTTATATTAAGTTTCTCGGGATTCTCCAGACTCTAATCCTAGTGTCAAGTCAGCTTACAGGACTATACGTCCCTGGGCCTCAACGCTCCACTATGGAATTACTTTTACAGGATTATGACATTATACCTTTGGCATTTTTCTACAGTGCAACAAAATAACCATATGTAGAATATCTTTAAATATATTTTTAATTACCATGGAGGAAACTGTCTACTATGTTGCTCAATGGTCTTTATGTAAAGACCCAGGTAACAAATTACCCCGGAAACTAGGGGAAATAACCTCTTTCTCCTGATCAAGTGGTACATTTTTCTATTACATAAGAACAAATATTAAAGAGCTCTTCCTGTTCTCCTTTTGAGTTTGGCCACTAGGAGAGCAGACCTAAATTCTCTGCCCCATTCCAGTAAACTTCCTCTGTTAAGACCTTTGGCCAAAACCGTTTGTCTATCCCACTTTTGCGTGTCTTTTTGTTTTTATGTTAATGATTTTCAGGTGAGTTTTTACTACAGGCTGCTGATCTATACTGGAGATCAGTAGGCTTATGAATGTGGGTATTAAGAAAAATAGATTTGTTCAACATGGTTGTTTTCCTTAAGTTTTGATGTTTATACAAGCGACCTGAAGAACACAAAAAGTTTATCTGAAATCCATTCATCAAGGCCAAGTTCTCCATACTGTTTTGTAACTTATTTTAAAATGACGGATATCACATATGTGATATATAATGGATAATATTTAATGGATGATGAATATTTGGACAAAAATCATTATGAGGACAGAAATAAAATTATATCTCTCTACATTCCAGTGGGTGGGTTACAAAATTACAAGCAGCAATTCCTGCAATAGGACTCCAGTGTTCTAGGCTTCTACCCCATTCTAATTGTGAGGACAATGAAATTTCATTCCATTACCATTTATTGGGACTCTGCTTTGAGAAGAGCACTAAAATAATTTGGCTCCCAAATGGTCTCCAGTATCAAACATGGTGGGCTGTCGTGTAATAGTCTTTCCAAGAGCATCAGCCTCCTTCTAAGTGTTAGACCCTGCTCCATTTCGTCTTTTATTCGCCGAGGTTGGCTCTTTTCTTGGTGTTTCCCCTTACTTTACAACTTGCAGACTTCTCGCCTCCTATCAAGTTTTGATTTCTCTTTGCCCCATCTAAGACTGACGTTCTAAAACCAGAACTCTGCACTTTTATACGTCTGCTGTCCCTGCCTCCTCTATAGCCAGTTCTACTGTAACAGAACTCAGCTTTACTTTCTCAAGCACATCGGTCTTCTAGCCCAAAGGCATCAGGTTCTTCCTTTTCATCGGCTGTCAGGGTGCAGTCCCCGATCGGCCTGGTTTCCCAGCGTGGGGTACATTAGAGATTTAAGTCTTTTCCCCAACTCCAGGTAGCTCCACAGATCCGCCTCCCTTCCCCCAAACCCCCGGGACCCCATCTCCACAACTTCGGCCTCGGGCCCCCGATCCACCCACCTCCAGGGCGTCAACGTCTCCTCCCCCTCACTGGGTCCTCAAACCCCGAGTCTGACGCCCCCCCACCCCACGCCTCCACCCCAACCCTGGTCTGCACGGCTCTGCCGCGTCCGCACGCACCCACTCGTTGGCCCGATGGCCAAAAGTGTACAGAGCCACCTGGCTGGCCACGTCCACGATGCGGTTGATATAGGGATCATGGCGCCGCAGGGCCGCTAGGCTGATGTCGCGCCCCTTCCCCACCAGGCCGCTTGCCGCCACTGCTGCCATCTTCCCTCCCTCCCTGACACCGGCGCCGGGCTCTGGGAAGCCACTCTCAATAGATCGCAGAATGAGCGAGCTGCCTCGCAGCCGAAAACCCCGGAGGACCAGATGGCCGGGGAGGCCTTCCGGCTCCAGTCACCCCAACCCTCCTGCCCGCCGACGGACGCAAGGCCTCACTAATCGATGGTCGCGCCCCGCCCGCTGAGGATCGTTGCCACTGGCAACGACAAGCCCAGGCCTGCCCTCTGAATCCCGTTTCTTTCTCCGAGAGCTGTTTCTCTTCGCGCCGGAGCTTGAGCTGTGTGCGCGGTAGGACTTCCTTCTTGGATATGTTCGACGCCTTGGCATATCTTTTCTTTGGCGCTTCAGGGATCAAACCTATAGCAATAAATAAGCCTCGAGCATCAAGAACTCTGAAGACAAATAGAACTGAAATGATTTCTGAATGCGCTAACACCAGTGGTTCTTAAAACTGTAGCGTGGTCCCGGAACCCCTTGAGAATTTCTGAGACCCTTTAGGGGGATCTGCAATATCAAAAAAAACCTTTTATGACAATGCTAAGACGTACTTATTTGACTTGTTCACTGTAATGACGTTTTGCAGACAATGGTGGTTTAAAATGCTGGTGGCTCAACCCAATTAAGGCAGGGGCACCAAACTGCATTGTTAGTCAAAGTACCTGACACTAACCTGCCTTCTCGGTTAAAAAAAAAAAGAAAAGAGAAAAGAAGAAGCTAGAGCCAGTGTCACCTGACGGTGTTCTTGATAAGCACTAAAAATTATTAATTTTATTGAAGCTTAATCCGTGAGTACAATTCTTTGTGGTATTCTGCATAAAAAATAGGAAACAGGCATAAAGCTCGTCTGCTGCACACCGGAGTGTGTCATATTTGTCTCTAGGAAAATACTTCTGTGCTTGAGTTGCAGGCCGAATTCATGTTTTTATTTTTATTTTCATAAAACATTTTTACTTGAAAGAAAGATGGGCAAACTATGGTTATTCAAACAGGTACTTGACAGACATTTTTCTGAAAATAAATAAAGTATGCCTGTCACTTTCAAGAAAACAAGGGACAGTTACTGTTGCCAATGATAATTTTTAAGCCTTCAAGCCAGAATTAAAAGTTTAGGAAAAGTGTATCTACTGCCATGAGCTTGACAGCTTCTCAATACTTAATGTTGTTGTTGTTTTTTTTTTTTTCTCTGATGAGATCACCGGTGATACTGAGTGCAATTTTAACAAATACTGCATAATGGAAAGTGTCAGTATCTGAAAGATCTGCTGAACTCAGTGATCCAGTATTTTCCAAATGACCCATGTCTCATGCCACATAATCATGCATAGGCAAAAGATCCATTCTAGGACAAGGTGGACTAATGGATTTTTAATGTAACAGAATGAAAAGTTAATAGGATTTCAGACAGCACATTGCAGCTAAACTTTGAGAAACACCAGCTTGTCAAGTTTTGGCATATTATCCAAGAAGAATATCCACAATTATCCGAAAAAGGCTATTAAAATATCCATCTCTTTTCCAACTACATTATCTGTAAGAGGCCAGAGTTTCTTCATATACTCCAAACAAAACACACATAGCAACAGATTATAAGCAGAAACAGATACGAGAATCTAGTTGTCTACTATTCAGCCATGTTAAAGATATTTGCAAAAATTTAAAAGAATGCTTCTTTTCTCACTAAATGTTTATTTTGGAAAAATTATTCTTCATAGAAATGGATTTATATTTAAGATCATTGTTATTTTTAATAAATGAATTAAATATTTTTAAAGTTTATTTATTTTAAGATGGAGTCTTGCTCTGTCACTCAGGCTGGAATGCAATGGCATGAACTTGGCTCACTGCAATCTCTGCCTCCCAGAATCAAGTGATTCTCCTGCCTCAGTCTCCTGAGTAGCTGGGATTACAGGTGCCCACTACCACCCCTGGCTAATTTTTGTATTTTTAGTAGAGACCGGGTTTCACCATGTTGGCCAGGCTGGTCTCAAACTCCTGATCTCAGGTGATCTGCCCACCTCAGCCTCCCAAAGTGCTGGGATTACAGGGGTGAGCCACTGTGCCTGGCCTCTTTGAAGTTATTTTTAATTTCCAATATGGTAAATACAGGTAGACATAACTCATATAAACAAAAGTTCTTTGAGGGAGCCCTCAATAATTTTTAAGAATGGGCTGGGCCTGGTGGCAGGCACCTGTAATCCCAGCTACTTGGGAGGCTGAGGCAGGAGAATCACTCGAACCCAGGAAGTAGAGGTTTCAGTGAGCTGAGATCCTGCCACTGCCCTCCAGCCTGGGCAATGGAGCAACACTCCATCTCAAAATAATAATAATAACACTTCTTAAGAGTATAAAGCGGTCTTGAGATTAAAGAGTTAAGAACAGTTGATCTAAACCATTTACCTAGTGTTAACTATTAGAACAACTGTGCAGAAATTATTACGTTCATAAATTCCTACCTATTTGATATAGAAATATCACAGGTACGGCACAATACCCTCTCATTATAATATGTTGCAATATAATCTTTGCAGTCACAATTTCAATTGTACTGAAATTCTTGATTAAGTTGCATTTTGGAGTCTCAGACCTGTTGACTCCCAAGGCTAACTTCCCATGGGGAAGAATACAGCAATGGCTTTCAAACAACTTTTATTTTGACTGAGGCTGGGGTCATTTGCAGAGTCTGACCCAGAACATATGTTTATATATTTATACCTGATATTAACTCAAATAATTGTTTCATGGAACAATACTAAATGATATAGACTTTTTTTTTTTCTGAGATGGAGTTTCGCTCTTGTTGCCCAGGCTGGAGTGCAATGGCCTCATCTTGGCTCACCACAACCTCCGCCTCCCAGGTTGAAGCGATTCTCCTGCCTCAGCCTCCCAAGTAGCTGGGATTACAGGCATGTGCCACCATGCCTGGCTAATTTTGTATTTTTAGTAGAGACAGGGTTTCTCCATTTTGACCAGGCTGGTCTTGAACTCCCAATCTCAGGTGATCCGCCTGCCTCAGCCTCCCAAAGGGCTGGGATTACAGGCGTGAGCCACTGTGCCCGGCTGATACAGACATTTTAAGAAATACTAGCTGTGACTCTGTGAATTGATTTCATGACCAATTAATGGATTGTGACCTGCAGTTTGAAAAACATAGGGCTGTGGCAACTGAGCAACCACACAAAGCTGACTAGACAACTTTCCATGTTAGTTCACTATGCTTTTCCAGTATTCCTAACCTCTTTGCTCTTATATCACCTACGTGCTTCTAGAAACAAGTTTACAGGTATTGATCGACTTAGCACCTATGCAACTTATGACCATTTGACTTTACGACCACAATCGCTAGCCACGACTGCTCCGCATCTGGCAGCGCAAATGTTGCCCAGCTGGGCATATGACAGTGCGGACCAGCTTCCGGCAGCACTACCATCTCCGCATGCACCATTTCAACTGTACATATAGCCTACTCAACTTATGACCAAATCGTGTTACGACCGGTCCGCGGTCCCGACCATGGTCGTAAGTCGAGCACTAGCTGTAATTGTAATATGGGCAATGGAGAACTTTGTGATTAACTCTTGAACTAGTCACACTCTCTCACTTGATTAGCTGTTCTGATTTTGATTTTTCAGCATGAACCCATAGATTCTACTTTGCATTTCCCTCATATGTATAATGGGGCATTGCATTTCTTTTATCTATTAAGTTCCATGATCCTTACACAAATCATTTTCCTCATAATTTTTCAGTCTTTCCATCTTTAAAGTGTAAAGAACAGATCGTGACCCCAAAAGAACAAATTGTTTTGAGCTCAATAGAGATGACAGACAATGAAATGTCAGCTTTTTAAAGAACATTTAAAAGCTTAAATGTTCACAAAACAAAAATGCACACAAGTCTTAGTGATCTGTATGACTACAATTACAAAGTATATATTGAGTGCTCACTTGATGAAGTTCATTAATTCATTCTTCATGATTTATTGTTGCTTCTTGTGTCTGTAATGAAATTAAATGGTCGTGTCATCTCCAGTCTTTGATCTCACTAATGAGTAAGAGGAAGATACTGTTACTTTGCTTATGGGGATAATTTCACATATGTGAACAACATGCCAATATGATCCTTAGTAGAGATGGGCTGATTTTTTGTGTTTAGAATTAATGAAACAACATGAATGAATGGCCCATCTCCTGTTTCAACCTCCTTGTATCTGAACTGTTTTCTTTCAAGTATCTTACACATTCCCATCTCTGTACGTTTGCCCATCTGTCTTCTCAGCTTGGAATGTCCTTTTCCTGGAAAACTCACCTCCTGTCTTCTTGTCGCTTACAATCCTTTTGGCCTGTGAATCCTCAGTGCACTCGGTTGTGATTTTTCTTGTGGCACTTAACTCACCTTATCCTGACTCAGACGTATTTACTATGTTACATAGACACTTTTTTCCAATTCTTAATAAAGAGTCATTGTAATAAAAGAGAATTGGTATAGAAAATCTAGTCTGAAAGTGGTTCTTGCAACTGAACAAGAAATTTCGCTTTGAGTTTCTTGACAGATAAGCAAAAGGAGGAAATAGTATGTTTCATAAGTTTTTATTTATTTATTTATTTGTTTTTGAGACAGGGTCTTGCTCTGTTGCCCAGGCTGGAGTGCAGTGGCACAATCACAGCTCACTGCAGCCTTGACCTCCTTCCCACCCCAGCCTCCCAAGTAGCTGGGACCACAGGCGGGTGCCACCATGCCCAGCCAATGTTTTTTATATTTTGTAGTGATGGGGCCTCATCATGTTGCTCAGGCTGGAGTTGTTATTTTTTATGTACTTATCACCCGTGTAGTCTCCCTAGCACTTGATCCAATGCCTTGTGAATAATAGAGATTTAATAAATGGTTATTCTTTTGAAC